AATGTCTAGCTTGTTCCTGTTCCACCATTGTACTTTGAAAGCAGATAATTTGTATTCTAGATTTCACAGATGAGGAGAAATTTTTGGATTTTGGACTTGGAGTTGAATTAAGACTTTTGCGATGATATGATGAGGTGAATGTGTTGTGCATGTGGCAAGGACATGAATTTTTGGGGCCAAAAATATGTGTATCAATTTGGCTAGGCCATGATTCTCAGTACTGTGTGATTGTCCACCGTTTTGTCATCTGATGTGATTTTCCTATGTGTTGTAAATCCTGTCTCTATGATGTTCATAAAATGGGATTAGTGGCAGTTATGTTAATGAGACAGAACTCAATCTACAAGATTACATTGTGTCTTAAGCCAATCTCTTCTGAGATATAAAAGAGAGAGGCCAGCAGAGAGACCTGGGGACCTCATACAACCAAGAAACAAGAGCCAGGAGAAAAGCACATCCTTTGGACCTGAGGTTCCTGTGCTGAGAAGCTCCTAGACGTGGGGAAGATTGATGACGAGGACCTTCCTCCAGAGCTGTCAGAGAGAGAAAGCCTTCCCTTGGAATTGACTCCCTGAATTTGGACTTCCGGCCTACTAGACTGAGAAAATAAACTTCTCTTTGTTAAAGCCATCCACTTGTGGTATTTCTGTTACAGCAACACTAGATAACTAAGACATACAGTTTAGAACTAGTTGTGTTTGTCAGTAATCAAACTGAAAAAAGGAAGAATTTTTCCTTCTTGTCACATTATACTCAAATCATACATATACTGAAAAATCACTATATTAGTAATATCTATGCATTCATTAAATTGCAGTGGTAATACCTTGTTATTCTTATTTGTTCTGTGAGTTGGTACCAATTCTGTATCTTTAGCCAGTTAGTTCCTGAATTTGTCAAGCTGTATTATCATTAAAAAATGATGCTTTAACTATCTTCTTTTCCATATATTTACCCAACATTACAAGAAAACATCTTTGGTAAAGCCTTTTACCATTATAATGTTAGTAATTGTGTATGGTTTTTCAGTCTTAGCAATTTAAAGTGCTACTTTATAAGAAGTCTGCAAAGCGTTAATGTTACATGTGAAATATTGAACATCAGCTACTCTTGGCTTTTTAATCTAATGTATTTTAAAATACAGTCATGTGCTGCATAACGTCCATTTGGGCAATATCCGACTGCGTATACGTCCGTGGTCTGGCATGCATCCTCCGGGGGATGTCCACAGCCTGATTTGGCAGCGAGCCTGCCCCACTTCCCCACATCCATGTGAACATGTGCCCCTGCTGCTGGGAGGAGTGGGTGCATGATCCTGCTCAGGAGCACCTAAGGTCAGCTAGCATTGCAAGACCTGGCTGGGGCGGGGTTGCTGGATTGTGAAGATTGCTCCCCTGCTGTCCTGGCCCATGCCTGGATCTTCCCCACCACAACCTTCACGAGGCTGTGGGGCAGGACCCAGCCGAGCACTTACCTGAGGCATCTGTTAACAGGAGTTGGCCAGGTCGCATAGCAGCCCCTAGGCCCCACAGACCCAGGTGTTTACACAACGTCCAAATCACGTAACATCTTATTTCACAGAAAATATTGTAGATGTTAAGCAGTGCATGACTGTAATTGTTTTAGTTTTGAACTTATTTCTTTATTTTTTAAATGTAAATTGTAGTTACATTTTAATAGTTCCTTTTCAAATAACACACTATGGTTTTCATAGTCAATTGAAAGCACTTCATCATAATTCTGGCTATAAAATTCAGTATATGAGGAATCATAATTCCAGATGAAATTAGTATGAACTCTTTTGGTCTTCATTTATTTGCAGTCACTTCACCATCATCATTTGGTTTACCACTACTACCACATTCAGAAAGGTGTATCTTTTCCTGACAAAACATTCTAGTAAAGCTTGTTATGCTTTCAATAAATTAAAATGAACAGTTAATAATATAGTTTATTTCTGTAATTCGGCAAATAAATTATAAATTAAAAACAGGCTTTCACAGAAGCAACAGCTTTTAATTTTGTTGAGGTCTAATTTTATCAGAGTTGCCTTGTATGGATCATACTTTTGATATCAAATCTGAGAACTCATTGTCTAGCCTAGTTCCTGAAGATTTTTTCCTATTTTTTTCTAAAAGTTTGATAGTTTTATTTCTTACATTTTAGTCCACGATCCATTTGTGTTGAGTTTTACTTAAGGTGTGAGGTTTAGGTCAAGGTTCACTTTTTTTTTGCCTGTGGATGTCCAGTTGTTCCAGCCTAATTTGTTGAAAAGTCTGTTCTCCTCCATTGAATTGCTCTTGCACTTTTGTCAAAAATAAGTTGAATATATTTATGTGGGCATATTTCTGGTTCTCTCTTCTGTTTTGATGACTGTGCTATATACAGCAAGACTTAACATTGGGTAGAGTGATTCTTCCCAGTTTATTTTTCTTTTTAAAAATTGTTTTGGTTGTGTTGGAGCCTGTGCTTTTATATAAATTTTAGAAGAAGCTTGTTTATGTCTACAAAAAAAAATCTTGCTGGGATTTTTATAGGAATTGCTTTAAATCTATAGATCAATTTAGGGAGAATTAACATATTTACTGTGTTGAATCTTCCAATCCATGAACATGGTATGTCTTCTCATTTATTTAGATCTTTGACTTCTCTCATGAGCTTTTTTCAGCATACAAATCCTGTGCCTGTTTTGTTATATTTATTTCATTTTCTTTGGAGCATTGTGTTTTTACTTTCAGTTTCCACATGTTCATTGTTAGTATATAGAAATGTGATTGATTTTGGTGTGTTGATCTTGTATCCTGTGACCTTGCTGAACTCACTTGTTAGTTCTAGGAGTTGGTTTTGTTTTTGTGGGCTTTTTTTTTTTTTAGATGCTGTGGGAATTCTATATAGACAATCATGTCATCTGCAAATAGAAACAGATTAATTTCTTCCTTTCTGGTCTGTGTGCCTTTTATTTCTTTTTCTTGCCTTTTGTGCTGAATAGAGCTTCCAGTACTATGTTGAATAAGAGCAGTGTGAGCAAACATCCTTGCTTTGTTTCCAACCTTAGGGGGAAAGCAAAGTAAAAAAATGTTTGTTCTATGAAAGACCCTGTGAAGAGGATGAAAAGACAAGCATCAAACTGGGAAAGAATATCCCAAACCACATAACCAACAAAGATCCTACATCTAGACTATATAAAGAATCCTCAAAACTCAACAGTAAAAAAAAATAATCCAATTAGAAAATGGACAAAAGACATAAATAAATATTTCACCAAAGAGGATAAATACAGATAGCAAATCAGCACATGAAAAGATATTCAACTGAATAGCCTTTAGGGAAATGCAAATTAAAACCATGATGAAATATCACTACATGGCTATCAGAATGGCTAATATAAAATAGCAACACCAAATACTGGTGAAGATTTGGAGAAACTTGGTTACTCCATTGCTAGTGGGAATGTAAAATAGTACCAACACACTGGAAAATAGTTCGGCAGTTTCTTTGAAAAAACTAAAACTAAACTAAAGTTGCTATAAGACCCAGTGATAGAATTCTTTGGCATTTATTCCAGAGACATGAAAACTTATGTTCACGTAAACGTTCATAGCAGCTTTGTTCATAATAACTCCAAACTAGAAACAACCCCAATGTCCTTCAATAAGTTAATGGTTAAACAAACTGATACACATCCATACTGTGGAATACTATTTAGCAGTTAAAAAAAAACAATTTACCGAAACATACAACTTGGAAGGATCTCAGGACAATTACTCGGAGTGAAAAAAACAGCCAATCTCAAAAGACTTGATATTGCACGATTCTATCCATATAACCTTCTTGAAATAACAAAAGTTATAGAGCTAGAGAACAGATTAATGGTCGGCAAGGTTAGGGATGGGAGGGTGGATGTGACGCTAAAGAGATACCATGAGGCGCAAAGAAGTTCTGTATCTTGATTGTGATTGTAGTTAAATTAATCTTCACATGTAATGGAATTGCATAAAACTATACACACACACATGATTGCATGTAAAATCTGAGAAAGTTCGGTGAATTGTACCAACGTCAGTTTCCTGGTTTTACATTATACTATTGTTAGGAAGATGATATCATTGGGGAGAACTGGATGAAGGATAAGTAGAATATCCCTGTACATTTTTTTGCAACTTCCTGTATATCTATAATTATTTCAAAATAAAATTTTTAAAAAACAGGCTTAATTAACTATGTCAATTATAAAAATGACAAGTTATAAAAATAAAGAAATGCTCGGATTTTCTCAAATTTTTAAATACTTTTGGGTTATTGTAGACAAACTAACCTTAAAATATCACATCTCAGTATCATCTTGCTGCACGTGTTGGTACTATGCTTGCATCATTAATGACTCTCCTGGTGAGTTTTCTATCCAAACATTCTCATTAGCTGTGCCCATGTCATATTGCCATGAATATTTCTAAACAGTTACTCTCAGTTTCTGAGCTCATCTCGCTGTGTACTAGTAATGGCTTTGTAGTGCAGCAGCTTACCAACCATGCTATGAGTAGTGCCCGTCCCCATGGTGCAGAATCTGGTGTTGAGCTGACTTGCTCAAGGTCTCCCCTTGAGTTGATAGGGCACTTTATATGAGAAACAACTGTGCTACTATTGTGGAAAGAGAAAGCCTTATATGCTTCAAAGTTTTCCAAAACTACATTGCTGCTATAAGTCTCTCTTTGGAGAACTGAAAGATATACTCAGGGGCAAAGTTATTATTTTTTTTGAGAACATTTCTTACTATAAATGATTGCTTCCTGCTTTCTCTTGGAAACCTATTTAAACAAGTCTTCCTTATCCATTGGACTAAGTTAAAAATTGTACATTTCCTTGTGACTAAAAATGAAACTTTCCTGGTTAAATCTTAACATCTCCTTTACTGGGAAGAGGTATGGAGTACTCATTTGGCAATCTGTGTGTTTGTGTTTTTCCCATGTGGATAATACAAAATTACTCTCATCCCGTTACAGTTCAACATCAAGAATATTGTGACCCAAATGAGAGAACACCGTTGTGGCATGATTCAAACAAAGGTAAGCTCTCACCATGTAAATTCGAATAATAATGAATATAAAGATTAATACTGTATAGGACCTTACAATTTATAAAGTTATTTTGCCTCCATGATTTAATTCTCATTGTTTGAGGTAGACATTAGTTTTGCTCTAATACTGCTAATATTACAAGTTCAAGACAATGAAGTCCATTTCATAAGGTCATTCAGTCTCCTGATGCCCAAATACGGATGTATTTTTCCATAATTCTGTATTAATCTAAATAACATACCTAAAATCATTCTTAATAAATTTCTGGATAGCAATTTGAGGTATTTACTTGCCGCTGAAGTATCAAAAAGGAGCCCTGGTGGTGTAACAGTTAAGCACTCAGTTACTGACAGAAAGGTTGGCAGCAAACCGACCCAGGGGCTCCGCCAGAGACGGACCTGGCGCTCTGCCCCCATAAAGATTACAACTTAGAAAACCCTATGGGAAAGTTCTACTCTGTCACATGGGGTCACTGTGAGTCGGAATCAACTTGACAGCACCTAACAACAACAACAAAGTATCAAAGCCATTGACGTGTCATAAAAATGTATTGTTTATGTCACAGATTAGTTATTAATCATTGGAAGAGGGGATCAGGAGAGTGTGGATAATGAAAGTACACAGGTACTCCTTTAGGTTGGCCAATTTTTAGTGTCCGATGATATCAAGCATTTCATTTTAACTAGAGTTGCCTGAGACCTGAGGATTTATCTTAAAAATAAAATACCTGTGTTCAGTTAAAATGTCAAGAGTACTTCAAGGAACTTTTAAATTTACTTTTGTGAGAGCAGATATAAGGAAATTGAGATTGAGAGTCATTTTCTCCTCTGTTCACTTAGCCTTCAGTTAACTACATGTAGATCAAGAACTGTATTTTGGTCATTATCCTTCCGATATTTTAAGAAGTATATTTGCATAACTAAATTCTTGGCTAAGTGTTTGCTCTTTTTAGGAGCTATTCTGTATAGTTGAAAATTATATGTGTTCTCTAAAACTGAATATGATGTTCAAGTACTTAACTTTCTGTTGTTTTTCATATATATGTGTATAGGAGCAGTATCACTATTGTTATAAAATTGTGCTTGAAGTTCTTCAGAAAATTCTGACTTTGGATTAAGAAAGACTTCTGTTGCCTCTCACTTGAAATTACCAAGTGGCTTGGAGCTTACTCATAACAAACATGTTCTAGCTGTGCCAAAGGGCTTTGCTGTGTATACAGTGTACTTTCCTGATACATTCAATTGATTTGCTTTCTAAAAACCCCTGAAGGCAGCATAATTTGGTTTCCTGTTCACTCATTGATATTACCAGACAATATCAAAATACCTTCCTACTTTTTCCAATGAAACAAAAGTTACATAAAAGAACTGCAGCTTAACTCTTTGGTTGAAGGGATTACGGAGCCCAATAATGGATTTAAACTATATTCATTATTAATTGTTAAGTATTATTAAGATTTAAAAAATATATTAAATTTATTAAAATAAATCTTATTTATTTATTAAGGTGGCTAATGGGAGCTGTGGATTTCCAGGACCTTATAGGGTCCTTATTCTGGGAGAACATAGGGCCGGTAAACTGCAGGATCACGTCATGATCTCCTGCAGGCATTTCAAGACAGATGCTTGTCCATGTTCCTTAACTAGAGAGTCTGTACTTGTAGCTGATATTTGAACAACTCAGTTTACAAAAGAATCTAATTAGAATGGATCAACTTTCAAAGCAAATCGAATCCCATTTTTTTGTATTTCCAATACTCCTTGGGGCCCCAAGGACCTCAGGATGAGCTGCCTTTTTAGAGCAGCTGAACAAGGACCTGTTGGTCTAGGAAGCATTTCATGGGTGGGCAGAGTTTCTCTTTTCTATCACATGAGCACACTGGTAAACAGTCCAAAACTAAAATAGATGTTTATATAGAAAGTCCATGAGGAAATTTTTGCCCAGCTTGAATTCTTTCCTATTCCACCCTGACACTTAACATATTACTCAGTCTGCTTTGTTAGAAGCAATCATACATTTTTCTTGCCTCTTACTCTTTGCCCTTTAGCTAACCAATAAACTTTGATATAGGCATTATTAAGTCATTTCTGAGTCATTCATGGTATCTCTTATATCAAATATATTTTCCAAACTAAAATCTATGATAGTAATTTTTTTTCTTCAGAGTTCCATTAAATCATTTCTCTTCATTACTGACTCACCTCTGCTGACACATTGAGAAGTTGGATTTGGGAAACAGATTTTGAAAAACTATATTCATAGTTGTGAAAAAGAAAACGTCCATACTCTGTTTTTTAAAAGATTATAGTCATTATTACCTTCTTCATCTTATTATAGGACTTTGCCTCATAAAATTATACGGATATTTTGGTCAGGGGTTTTAGTAATCAGCTTTACCAATACATTCCTTTGCACAACTGTAATTCAGTGGCGATCAGAATATTCTATGTATTATACTGAGAACATTTCTAGTATTAATCTGTCAATCCTGAATTTTTACGAGACTTATTTTATTCCTTTGGCTTATTGAATACTAGAATTGGGTGAGTTAACATTGATAATTCTCATTTTTAAAATAATTATTTGCCCAAAATATATTTTGTATTAAATCAAATTGATGATTCTAGCTAGTATGAATAATAATCTATGCTAAACATTAAATTCATTTTATGATTGACCTTTAATATTTGTATCCCTAATTTTAATTTTTCTCTATAATTGTACAATAACAGGTCTAATGTACAATATCCCTGAAAAGGATTCTATGCTATTCCTTAAATGAGAATATTTACTATGTATTGCCTGAAGTATGTTTATTTATCTGGGCCTTGAAATGCTCTTGTAAAGAAAAATTGCACAATTCTTGATGTTAAACATGTCTTTTCTTTAATGTATGCCTCATATATTGACAGTTGGACCAATTTTTAATTTTCCAGAGAAATTAATAAGTAAACTTGGAGATATTGATTGCATTTGTTTTGATTTCATTCTTGGAAGATGAATTCCAAATTGAAAACATTGAACTAATTGAAATATTAACTTGTATACCAATAATGAATCCATTTCTGCCTAGGGTATGACTGTGAAACTCCTATTGACACCTTTGTGAGTATATGAATACTGATTTAGGGAAACTTTAAAAAATATTTAAATATAAGCATATATACATATATTAACTTTCAACTTTAAATACATAATTTTAAAGTTATATGTGCTTAAGGCTTACATGTTGGCCAAAGCTTTTCAGAAATAAATATTGCAGATTTTATTCTCAGATAAGTCTTAGTGATTTATTTTTCTTTGGGCCTTACCACATTCCCCCAGTAGCTCAAGAAATTGTAGAATTTTCAGTTAAGTTTACATGTTCTATTCAAAGGTCATTTTAGTGATTTATTAAAAACAAACAAACAAAAACTCAAAAGAAAACTCCTTGAAAAACTCTAAAGCAACGAAATTCCATTTCCTCCTTAATTTTTAAAAAAATCTCTGGGAAGATCTAATTTTCTTTTATGTTGACTTGAGGTTCAAGTAATTGGATTAGAAGACTTGGAAAGTTTCCATTAAGTAAAAGCAGGTTCCTAGTGTTCAGTAGGGGTGATGGATTACTCAGTGGAGTACTCAGTTTGTCTACAGCCACAATCAAAAAGCAGTAAATAATGACTTTATAATGAAACAAACTGAATAAGAAGGACTCTTAAAAGATATCAAATACAATGCTCATATCTGAAACTGGAATATGATAAAAAAAATTAGAAACCAATGGCAACGTCATATTTAAAGGTGAAAAATAGAGCCTTCCTATTAACAAAACAAGAATACCTCCCATTAATACTGTAGTTGAGTATTGCTGTAGAGTTATCTAGCCGGTGAAATATGGCTATAAAAAGGAATAATTGGCATAAATATTGGAAAATTATAACAAAAATTATTTTTGTTTGTATATTTGCCCACATAGAAATAATTGACACTACTAAAAAATGATGTATTAGAAAGTTCAATAAGAAGTCCTTATACAAGATAACTATGTAAAATTAATCTTTTTCTATATAGGAATCAGCAAAATATGGCCCAAAGGCCAAATCCAACTAATTGCCTGTTTTTGTTAGTAAAGTTTTATGCCCATTTGTTTACATATTGTGTTTGGCTGCATTTGCGATACAATGACAATGGCAGAAATAATATTAACGACAGAGATCGTATGAAAGCCTAAAGAATTCACCATCTGGCCCTTTAAAGAAAAAAATTATCAACTCCTGTTCTTTATTTCAATAGGAAAAATATCCCTGAGTAACAAATATATAAAAAACATCCCTGAGCAACAAATATATACAATACCTAAGGGTAAACTGAACAAGAACTTGAGCAGTTGATGCTCATATTCTAAATGAAAACTAAATGCATAAAAAGAGGCAAGATATTTTGAAAAAGAAAATTTAAGAGGAGAAGGGAGAGGTTTTACCTTAGCAATAATTAAAAGTATTGTCTAAAGTCACAGTAATTAAAACAATGTGCTTCCAGTGCAGGGATCAAGTCAAGAATGAGACTCAACAGACTCATACATTTGTGAGTTCAGTATGTGCTAAAGGTTGCATTTAAAATACAGAACTTCAAAATATATGAAGCAAAAAGTGATAGAACTGATAAACCTGGAAGAGAAATAGACAAATCCACAATTATAGTTGGAAATTTCACATTCTTCTCTCAGTAACTGACAGAAAATTAATAAGGATATAAAAGACTTGAATAACACTATCAACCAGCTGGATCTAATTGACATTTAGAGAACACTGCACCAAACTGCAACAGAATACACATTCTTTTCAAGTGCACATGGAACATTCGCCGAGATAGACTATATTCTAGGTCATAAAAAAAGTCTCAATAAAATTCAGAAGAATGGAACTATATAAAGTATATTTGTAGAACTAACTAGAAATAAAAAAAAAGAAAGATATTTGAAAAATTCCAAAATACTTGAGAATTAAACAGTGCACTTGTAAAAATCCACAGTCAAAGGAAAAAAATCACATGAGAAATTAGAAAATAATTTGAACTAAGTGAAAATAAAAACTGCACATGAAAACTTGTGGAGTACAGTGCGAAAGTTTGGGGGAGGATGTCACATGCATGATTTGTGATGTGTTGAATTTATCATGCTGGTGGGACATCCAAGAGGCTCTACAAGTTTGATGCTAAAAAGAGATTCCTAAGCGGAAAACCCAGATCTTTGGGAGCCTTATAGATGATGGTTGAAGCCATAGGAATGGATGAACTTCTCAAAGAAAATGAGATAGGGGCTGTGTTGTTGTCTAGAACTGCTATAACAGAAATACCACAAGTGGATAGCTTTCACAAAGAGATATTTATTATCTTGCAGTTTAGGAGGCTAAATGTCTGAATTCAGGGTGCTAGCTCCAGGGGAAGTCTTTCTCTCTATATTGGCTCTGTCATCAGTCGTCGCCTGATCTAGGAGCTTCTCAGCACAGGGACCCCAGGTCCAAAGGACACACGGTGCTCCCCGCTCTTCTTTCCTCTCTACTCGATTCTCTCTTTTATATCTCAAAAGAGATTGACTCAAGATACAACCAAATTTAGTAGATTGAGTCCTGCCTCATTAACATAACTGCCTCTACTCCTGCCTCATTAACATAGTAGAGGTTAGGATTTACAACACATAGGATAATCACATCAGATCACAAAATGGTGGACAACCACACAATACTGGGAATCATGGCCTAGCCAAGTTGATGCACATTTTTGGGGATGCAATTCAGTCCATAAGAGGGCCAAGGGCAGAGCTCTGGGGAACTGCAGCATTCATTCCCACCTTGATTTCCCTTCATGGCCAAGCCTAAGAGCCACCTCTCCATGAAGCCTCCTAATGTCTTTTCCTCCTCTGACTCCTTCAGCATGCTTCTCAAACTCTTTGGTGAAGGACCAGTTTTATTTACAAACCAGTGGACACAAAAACAGCCAAAATAGCCAACAAATATTTACTGGAAAGTATAGTAAGCTGCTTTTGAGGACAGCAGCTGAAACTGAATGGGTATTGCCCCCTTTAGAAGTAAGTGAGGGAAACAGAGCCAGAAATCTTCAGCAAATAAGCACAATAAAGTT